TCGTACGCCATCAATAAGTCCTCCCTCAACCTGCAGGCTACGGCTTGGATTCCCGACATATAGTTGGTCATAGCCGAACTGACGAGCAAAACGGCAGGGAAGGTAAGGCTCTATGTGGCAACGATTCTTCACCCGGAGAACGAGATACCCAACACGGATGTTCACTAACCAGCGGAAACAACCAACGTCGAGAACAGTCCGATTACTTCTGGGTTTCTCCTCATCAATCAGCACATCACCATAACGACGCGAAAAGTGAGGAAAACACTTGAAGAACTCCCAGCTCTTACGAACTTGAAGCTCTCGTTGTACATCATTAAATTTCTTCCCGAGCCATCTGCTCCTCTCCAACAGCTGCACGAAAGGAACGGGGACATCAACAACGCTGGGCGCCGACATCAAGTCAGGACGGTGAAGAACAAGCCACGCCATCAGATACGCATAAGGAAGCTCGACCTTCGGACAAATAAGCTCGGTCGATGGTTCAGAACCCACCTGTGTAAAACTGCTGACCAGACACCTAAGCCCGCAATGGATGCCAGCAACCATCGCTGGGAGCAGAGAAAGCTCCCTCCCATAGGCTAGCTGAACTGCGGGGAAGAGCACCTCGAGAGGCAAGGCGTCAGAGAACTGGTACGGAACAACACATTTCTTCAACCAGAGGACAAGATAGCCTGCTAGCAGAGTCCGGGGCTCAATGGGCTTCTGCACGGCGGGGAGGAACGAACAAAACTTGGTTCCAGCAGGAAAAGCTCCCTCAGCACTGGCAATGGTGTAAGAACGAGCCTCAGCCTTCTCCATCAACTCATTAATGGCGGTAGGGGTCAAGACGTCTAACTCACGAAGGGGCTCGCCACAGGAATTCACGCCTCCAAATTCGGACAAATAGACAGCAAAACTGGCTTCAAGCTGATGCTGCTTTTTCTGGAGGGGAAGTCTTGATCAAGGAGGTATGATAATGACAGGTGAGGTCCCAAAGAGTATCGTACATATCGGGAGTATCCTTCTTCAACCCCCTCCAACTGCTGGTTCGAGGGAAAGTACTCCTGGTATGGACAATCCCCCATCGGAAGACCAGAAACCTGATGCATCTCGTGTAAGGCCAACCCTAACTCTCCGCCGCTGGTCAGGAATGTGTTACTGTCAGGCATGTATGTCTCCAACAACGCCAAGAAATGGCGGCAGCTGACCGGGAGTCCATACATGGTGGCTCGTATAGGTGCATACAATCCACTGCTCTTCAAATCCCTCTCCCAGCGTGCTAAGACGAAACTGGTCATGCGTGCCCACCACCCCTTGGCTAGTGAGGAAGCCCAACCATAGCATCTATAATCTGGTGGAGGTAATCTCCTCCCAAGATGAGCCAGACGGTTCTTCACGGTAGGAGCGGCTGCTGATACCTCGCCTGGGGGTGCAGTATTAAGACCCGTAATCCCCGGTCGAAGACCGCGGATGTAATGATACCCAGCAGAACCGGGAGTCTTATGATGAGAGGTATATCCACACTGAACTCGCTCAGCATCATCGGTAAGATGCCAAGACATCTGTCGCTCCACGGCCTGTCCCTCCAAATGGGTGAAAGAACATTGACGAGGAATGGAGGGAATATACAGGAGAGCTCCTTCATGAAGATTCAGCCAATGCTCCTCGGTAAGAGTCAACGTAGCAGGATCCTCAGTGTGATCCCCGAATAGAAAACCGGGCTTCTTTAAAGCCTGAGTGGAAGTAGAATCTGCAGTGAAGGAGGCGTCCGTAATCAGCTGGCGTAAGCAATGGCGCCCTCCATCCCGTATCAAACGACAGGATTCGTCGGAGCGGTCTCTGTCGAACTGAGGGAGTGGACCAATGGCCTGCCTGATGGAAGCCGAAGAGAAAACTTCTCTGCTACAACCAGTAGGGGCATGATGAGGGAGGCTGCCCGCGGGGAACTCGACTGCAACAAGACAAGGATAGAGTCAGAAAATCCATCTCGTAAAAAAGCGAGATAAGGTCATTCACATGGTGATTGGAGAGACGATTTTGAGTGTCTTACACTGGAAGAACGGTATGCATCATCACGTAAATAACGTGGTAACATACACCGACCTACAAGGTGTAAGACGACACAAGATCGCCCCAATATACCAGAAGACTTGAATTGGCTAAGCAAAACAAGTCCGAAACCTCAACCCCCGCGAAGGAGGGTGTCGGCCCTTCTCGAATGACCCGCGAAGGGGCCAAACGAGGGTGTACGGAACCACCAATGTCCTGAAACCTCAATCCTCGCGAAGGAGGGTGCCGGTTCTTCCTTAATGACCCGCGAAGGGATCAATCAGGGATACAGAAATAAAGATTCTCACCCCCGAAAAAGGAAGCCGCTGGAGGGGAGGATGTTGTGGGAACTTCTTCCTCGCTAGGCTGCGGACGGGATCGACTCCTAGGAGGTCGAGATCGACGTGGAGGCATCGAAAACCTGCGATGAAAAGCAGTAAGTCAGGCACAATATGAATACACGAAGTTTAAAAGGGAAATTAAGAACTTGAACTAAAGTCCTATGAATAAATAGGATATTATAGTTGAAGTCTAATTAAACCTACAAATTTCGTGCATGCAAAACAACGATTGTCATTTTGCGGTAAATTTTGGTGAAATACCCAAAATACCCCTCGTGTTCAAGGCTAAATTCGAGTCAAGGACACGCTCGATTTGGGTCATGGTCATCATATTTGATCATCTAGCACCCCAATACCCCATAATTTTGGTTAATTTTGCAAATAAACCCTTTTGTAAAATTTAGCCAATTTTGCAAATAAACCCCTCAACAACTTTTGGTCCTCTTGCATAAAGCACCCTTCAAATTTTTGACCAAGTGGAAATCCTAATTTCAGTCCTTTATTACATGAACCCCACCTCAATTCTATGACCAATTTTTGCAAATAAGCCCCCAAAAGAATTTCGGCCTATTTTTGCACATAAAACCCTCAATAATTTGTGGTCTTTTTGCATGAAACACCCCTCAAAGTTGTGGCCAAGTGGGTCTAAAATCCAAGCCTCAAAATTTCAGTCCCATTTTGCATAAAGGCCCCTACAAATTTTAGTCCACTTTTGCATAAAAGTCCCCCAAAATTCGGCCATATTGCATGTTTTGCATAAAACCCCCAAATTTTGATCCATACTCACAACCCATCATCATGAGAATAAAAAGTTATGATCTTGGCATGTGAATTCATGTTGTATCCCCATTACAAACATAAAGTTACAATCTTTCTTAAAAGAGAAGAGAGTTGTGAAGGGGAACTTACCAAATCAAGAAGCCTTCTTTGAGCTTGAGGATGAAGAAAAAACCCTAGCTTGGAGGAGAGGGAATTTCGGCCAAGGAGGAGATGCAAAAATCCGAATTTTAGGGAAGAGTTTTAATGGGTTTTGAGTTCTTGAAAGAGAGAAATAATGGTGTATGGAGGGAAACAGGAAGAAGAAAGGATTCTCTTTTGAAAATATGGAAAGAAGGGGGAAAACAAAAGGGGAAACAAAATTAAAACAAGAAGGAAAGATAAAGAAGGAAATAACCAAAGAAGGAAAAAAAAACAAAGGAGGAAACAACAAAAGAAGGAAAGAAGAAAAAAAAAGAAAAAAATAGGGGGGGATCTCGGTTTTGGCCGAGACACCCCAAGGGTGTCTCGGCCAAGTTGAGACACCCCTGGGGTGTCTCAACCCAATTCGAGCCCCCGATCCCATTTCGAAGTCCGAATTTGCCTCCTTTTCATCGATTGTTGGATATTTCGACAAGATCCACACTAATCAACACCGAACGATTCGAAACCCTAGGATCAACGCCGGTCAACGCGTAACCCTAGGTCAACGCCAGTCAACGCGTTGTGACCAAAAAGTCAATATTCGACGTTCGAAACCCTAGGGTCAACACCGGTCAACGCGTAACCCTAGGTCAACGCCAGTCAACGCGTTGCGACCAAAAAGTCAAAGTTCAACGCTCGAAACCCTAGGGTCAACGCCGGTCAACGCGTAACCCTAGGTCAACGCCAGTCAACGCGTTGCGACAAAAAGTCAACATACTGTGACCCGAAACCCTAAGTCAATACAATGTGACGGAGGTAGTTCAAAGTCAACTCAATGACACGAGCCAAACTCAATTCATCAGCTGTAGACTCGAGACTCTGACGACGGCCAAGCGATAAACGCAGCGTCGG